AAATATAATAAAAAAAAGTCATTATCGAAAAGGAACGGCATCAGCGATGACCATGAAATGAAGGTCGGTGCCATTTTATATGTAAATTTATATAGGAAATGTCATCAATCATCATTTCCCATCCAACTGGACGCCGTTTTTTTTTTCTATCATACGGTAGATATATGTACAAATATTTTATTCAAACATAAATATTATTTTCTCTATTTGTACCTTTTACGGAGCGATCAACATAGTAACACAGGATGACTATTTATCAGCTGTTATTACTAACGTCAAAACAAACTAAAAATTAAATAATATGATAAGTTTTTTGACGATATTTAAATTCGATTTTCAAAATAATGTGAGATAATCAAAACGAGATGAGAAATAAATGGGTTTAATCGGAAGGTTTTCTAATTCAGTTATTGAATAAGTGTAGTAAACAATATAGGTTACGTGCTTGTAAGAAATTTTTATAAAAAAACCGCCTATTAAGTATGATATGGCCTCGGACACTTTCGATTAATAATTCATCGGACATATTTAATGTAAAACCGCTCCACTAAAAACAGTTGCTCGGCGTAGACTATTCGCCCCCTCCCCATTCTCTGATTTCGCCTGATGGCGCGAGTACCGCCGATAGCTTGAAGCGCACCGAGCGCACCGATCTAATGCGGTGCGCGGGCTTACATTTATTTCAACGTAAACTGAAAATTACGTGTCGCTCGCTCTCGCTGATACCTATTCAGTGCGCGTGGAGCTTAATATGGATTAATACAGGGTGGCCCATCGAAAACGTTCCGCAAGGCATAACGGCCAGGATATTCTTTTTTTCACAAAATCCAAAAACACGTCAATTTTGTTTGTGAGGGGGACAACTTTTGCCCCAAAAATGATTGCAAAATCTTCAACCCTCTGAGCGGGGGTGTCATACCCCAACTTTTTTCAAATGGGAAGGGGGGTCAAGTGGCGCCGCAATGAAAAGACCTTTCTATTCTCTATATTTCCCCGCCTCGTCTTTGAAAATCGGTCGAGGCATTGAGAAAATATGAAGGATTGAAATTTGAAAAGTTTATTTAAACGTTATGATTATTGTTAGTTCCCAGTAATAATTAGTACGCAGAAAGAAAAAAATCGTGGTGCCTGAAGAAACGACAATAAAGTTGCGAAACGTCGCAAAAACATTGTTTCCTTTCGAGCCTTCCCAAACACCCACGATTTTTTTCTTTCTGTTTATTTAAACATTTATCAGAATAAATGATAAGGATAAATTCCTTCGACCAATTTGAGTTTTTTTCTTATTATTTCTAGATGTTTACGCATTTTTTTACTTGCCACAAGGTTGAACGATCAGGTGCGGTAGTTGCTAGATAGCTGTTCTGTGACTTGTGCGTTAAAATTCTTCTCAATATCGTTAAACTGACCCACAATAGAATTTCCAAAAATACCAGCCCACATGTTCAATTTCTGAAGGTTTTGTGTGTCCACCTCGTGAAAAACCCTGGGGTTGTCCTCAGCCCAGTACCGACAGTTGTGCCGATTAACTACATCGTTCAAAAAGAAAGTACAATCATCCGAAAAACACACATAAAATAGGAAATTATTATCCTTCGCCACTCGTTCACTCATAGTTTCACAAAATTGCAAGCGACGATCAAAATTGTCTTCGTTGAGTTCTTGTATCAGCTGAATTTTGTACGGGTGGAACTTGTGTTTTTTTAATATCCTTTGGACATTTGTACGATTCACGCCGGTCTCATTGCCTAATTTTCTTGTACTCAGCGTACTATTCATGGCAACTTGGCCCAATACGAATACCTCCATAGCTTCATTTACTACAGGGTTTTCCCTCTGCCTTTTTTTATTCATAACAAAACCAGTTTCGCGAAATTTTGCTACTAACTCGCGAACAATTTTGCCATAAAGGTGTTTGTCAGGATGGCGTTCATTGAATATCTGCGCAACCCGATTGCCACATTCATTATTTTTAAAATAAAGTTCGATTATTTCCACTTTTTCTGCAAGTAAGTACACCATAATAATTGTTAAAAAGTTTAACGATGTTGAGAAGAACTTCAACGCATAAGTCAGAGAACAGCTATCTAGCAACTACCGCACCTGATCGTTTAACCTTGTGGCAAGCGAAAAAATGCGTAAACATCCAGAAATAATTAGAAAAAAATACCCAAGTAGCAACTATCTGACTTCGAACTAAATCTGACCTGAAGCGACGTCAGACTTTGTGCAAATTTAGGCCGGGTGCTGGTGATACGACCTGTGACGTCGCTTTCCTACTAAAAGCGACGTCGTTGGATCTGAGTCGGTAAATATAACGATCTGTCGACGTACAAAATAACAACGTACCATTTTTATTAATTTCCCAACGTCGTTCCCACGTTGGATTGCACGACGTACATATACTTGAACTAGCCCGACGTCTACCCGTTGTCCGAATAGGATACGTCTCACTGATAATCCCTAAAGTAACGTCCAATTATATTTTGTTGTATTTTATGTTCATATTTATAACCTAATTTACGTATCTCTATTTACGTCCGCAAATACAACCCATTAAGTAGCATTTGCGACCTAATGAACATCATGAACATAACCTAATAAAAAGTTTTTGTAAACAAACTTATGCCTAAAAAAACACTAAAAAGGCATTCATCTACATTTTACAGAAAGAGGTCGAGGCTTTTGCAAAATAATAATAGTAGTAGTGATGTCTTGTCTCCACCCATAAATGATTTTTATCCTCAAGATATGCTGCATTACACTGGTGCATCTTAATTTCATTTTTTAGCTTAGGAAACCAGCAGACCCCATCCTCCTTCCACATGTGAGGTTAGGCTTAAAAAAGTGGCTGCCCATTTTTTTAAGGAGAAAACAAAAACTAAAATATAGTTGCACAAATCCACAAATCACTGATACGCAAAGTGAGGTTACGTGGCGTACGTTGGAATTATATACGTCATAATACGATTGCCGGTCGTCCGGTTTGATGACTTCGGTCGTGTGAGACGACTAATGTTGGAGACCCGGTCGGAATTGGTATATTGGTAGTTCATGTCGGACACAGTCGGACACAGAAATCCGCCATTCTTAACACGTATCCGATTGTCAGCCATTTTAAAATCGTTTTTTGTTTTTAAAATTTATATTCACATTTCGATTTCTAGTAGAATAATATTGATAAGGTTGAGTTTGGGGGGAACCACAGTACAGTTTTATGATTAAACCAGAAAATTAAAAAAATATTTTGCGAGTAACTTTTTATAGATATTTTTATTTCATAAATCTACCTAATTTTGAAGGCGCTCGTTGTTTTCCGGAGTATTTTAATCAGATATATTAAAAAAGTGACTTCCGTTGACAAAACTGATGTCTGGATTAATGATTCAGAATTATTATAATATGTAAGAGTCTTGTTTTCCGTTAAAAAATTGTTTATATTAAATTGTGTTATTTTAAGAAATAATATTTTATTTGAATCTCTAATTGACTTTTCTTGACCGCATGTATACAATGTCGTTTCCTAGACGATGCGGTTTGCATTGTTGATGATTATTTAGACTGACGTCGCCATTTATCAAAAAATATTAAATTCAGATTATAATTGTGTGGAAAATATTTCTGGGACTGAATAGAAGGAATGAAGTATTATTCAGGTGAGTGTAGTTTGTTCACTCACGGGCATTACTGGGATTTGTATGAGAGTGGTTTAATATTATTTAGTTAACAGTTAACACTGAGCTTTAGTAGTAGATAGAGAAGGGTATTTTAGTATTACTTTTGTGTGTGGGTGTTTTATAGTAGACAAGTATTTATCAAAGGGCATTTTAATATGTGAGTGAGAGCATTACACAAGTGTCCCGGCATCTAAGGTGAGTTTAGCTTCTTTTGTTTATGTTGTTTGAATATTAAATTGATATTAACACCATTCATATATTATGCTATATAAACAAAAAAAAAATATTATATTTTTCTTACTCGCTCTTACAAATATGAAATTAAATAGGCACTTATAGTTATATTCGAGGAGTGATTATGAATCCATTTGTAATTAGGTAGTTTGGTTAGATTTTTATGTATTCTTGGTAGCGAATATGAAACCAAACGTAACGTAAGTGCTTAGCGACGAATTATAAGTAACTAAAATCCAACGTAATATGACGTTGGTAATTGGTAGAATTACATTCCCTATTAGGTCAGATACCGACGTCGAGGCGACCCGAATCTGTATTCCCCATTTAGGTACAAATAAAGGTCGTCAGGCGGTCGAACCGACGTTGGTACCCGACGTAGGGTTTATTGAACGCGACGTATACCCGACGTTAGATAACGTCCAAGTGCTACTTGGGTAGCAAATTGGTCGAAGGAATTTACCCTTATCATTTACTCTGATAAATGTTTAAATAGACTTTTCAAATTTCAATCCTTCATATTTTCTCAATGACTCGACCGATTTTCAAAAACGAAGCCGGGAAGTATAGAGAATAGAAAGCCCTTTTCATTGCGGTATCACTTGACCCCCCTTTCCATTTGAAAAAAAATGGGGGATGACACCCCCGCTTAGAGGGTTGAAGATTTTGCAATTATTTTTGGGGCAAAGGTTGTCCCCCGCACAAACAAAATTGACGTGTTTTTGAATTTTCTGAAAAAAAAAATTACCCCGGCCGTTATGCCTTGCGGAACGTTTTCGATGGGCCACCCTGTATATGTTTTGGTGCCTGAAGAAGCGACAATAAAGTCGCGAAACGTCGCAAAAACATTGTTTCCTTTCAAGCCTTCCCAAACACCCACGATTTTTTTTCTATTTGATTACTTCTGACAAAACAACCTTTTAGCTGAAAATAGCTTTGATAAAGACGAATATACACGTCGAAACGTCGGCAATTAAAAAAAGGTTGTCTAATTCCTGGTTCTAAACCTGCGAACGCCATTTCATCAAGTATATTTAAGCTTATTTATGTATCTCTAATTTTAATATAGCTGCAACAATATTTTTCCAGGCATATTAAAGCAGTAGAAAATGTAACTCTGGGCGTTCTGTGCATAGGCGAAGGATGGCATAATTTCCATCACTGCTTCCCGTGGGATTATAGGACTGGTGAATTTGGAAGCTACGGATCTAATCTTAGTGCGGGATTTTTAGATTTGATGGCTAAAGTTGGCTGGGCTACTGAACTGAAAATTGCAAGTGATGATCTCATAATGAAAACAAGTCTTAAAAATGGAGACGGTACCTGGCATAGCGTAATTAAAGAAAACAATAATAATTTAATAGGCAACAAAAATGTAAAAATAAATTACTCTAATCACACATGGGGATGGGGAGATCCGGATATGAAAGATGAAGAGAGTAACGCCATAAAAATATTAAATTCTTGAGGGACTGATTTTATCCTAGACCGGGATATATTGATTCAAGCAATTTTTACTTTTAAGGTGTTTGTATTTTGTATTAGTTTTTTTATTAAATGATTTTATAAAAAGATATACATCGATTTTAATTAACACTACAGCTTAAAATTAAATTTTCGTCACATACGAGACCTACTTATTTTTTTTTGTAAAAACTATAAACAATAGATGTTATCGTGGGAACTATAACGATAGTATAGTAGTATAAAAAACATAATATACAGGGTGGTCCGAACTGTATTCCGGAAACTTCAACAGCACATTTTGCAGATAAAAATAAGTAAAAAGGTTCGTATAAATATATGTCCTAAAATGCTTGGTTTCAGAGATACAGGGTGTAGAAGTTTCATTTATATTTCGACTTTTTCTAAATAATTTCTGAAGTAACGTCAATATTTGGATGAAAATTGGTGTCTGGGTGTTTTTTGACATGAGAAATTTGATTTTGATGTCAATATCACTCCTACTAGTAGAAGGCGCCACCTACATGTGTGTTAACTCTTTTGAAGCGTAATAACTTTTTGTCGGTACCTGTATAAAACTACCGAGTGAAAAAATATTCATTTCTAACACTTTTTACGTAAAAAATATCTCTTTGTAAAAATCGCTACGAGCAACCGTTCTTAAGATATTTAGAATGAAAATAGACAATACATGCCATTATTGACGAAAAATAAACACGTTTTGAGTAGATAGTTATTTCACTCAAATAATAAATTTGGGAAATTTTTATTTTTTTAAATTAATCATAAATTTTTCTACAAAAAAATGTTGATAAAACAGTTTCTGTTGAACTTTTGGCACAAAAATATTTCAAATTTATGATTTCAGTCTAATAATTATTTAGTCAACATATATAATTTATGTCAATGATGACAGGTATTCATAATTTCGATTCCAAATATCTCGAAAACCATTACTCGCAGCAGATTTTTACCAAGACACCTTTTTCGCGTAAATGTATATCGTATCAGTAGTTATTACTCTTCAATATGCCAGTTAATTACTTCTATACCAGTTAAAAATATGCAGGTGGTGCCCTCTACTAGTAGGAGTCATATTGACATCAAAAGCACATTTCTCATGTCAAAAAATATCTAGACACCAATTTTCATCAAAATATTGACTTTACTTCAGAAATTATTTGGAAAAAATCGAAATAAAAATGAAACTTCTACACCCTGTATCTCCAAAACTAAGCATTTTAGGACATACATTTATACGAACTTTTTAACTTATTTTTATCTGCAGAATATTCTGCCGAAGTTTCCGGAATACAATTCGGTCCACCCTGTATACAGGGTGGCGCACCTCATTCGCCTCGGTTGCTTATACGAAAACGGAAAGATGTAGAAACAAAATATTTTATGGGTATATGTAGAGAGGCAATTTGCATAATTTAAAATTATTTTGAAATGTACAGGGTGTGTCAGAACTAAGATCCATACCAAAGTTTGTAGCGTTTTATTTTTCTTTTTATAAAATTCCAAATTTTAATATTGCTGGCGCCATCTATTCGCTAGATGTTAAACTTCATTCAGTACAGGTAGCGGTTCCTTTCCATAAAAACAAATTTCATTCGGAATAGATGATAGAGTTCACTTAATTGCCTTTGGTCATATGACCTGTCAATTCGAAGACTTCCGTTTTGCGAAAAGGAGGAGGTAGGCTTTTTCCGAGAGATTGAGATCAGAAAAAGACGCGTGGTTCAGCGTCCGACGAATCTCAGAGAAAAAGGGCTTTCTGAAACACTTTTCCTAACAGTAAAGGCACGGGTATCCAAAAGTGGAGATTTGAAATCCTGTAGAATATACTGTTCAGAGCCTAGTTCGTGTTTTTTGGCCTTTTTCTGGAATAAGATCACAGTAAGTGTATCTACCATTTTGTATCGCCATGTCTAACTAAATTTTATTTCAGTTATTCCCGTTTTTTATTTATTTTGATAATGTTTGATTGTGCATTACTGGTTTGGATCAGCATATAGTTTGGCTATATTTTGGAATGTGTACAGCTGATTTTCAGACCGTAAGTTATTTTTTGGTATTCGGTGACTGTTCTGAGAGTTTTTTATAGAGTAACTGGCGTATAAGAAATTGACGTATAAGTAATTGGCATATGAGTAACCACTTTTGAGACAGTATTTATGACTCTACATTTATTCTACTGATATCGAAGACTCCTGCTACTATCGAAGAGTCTACATCCACTTCCGTTAGTCTGGAGACTGCCTGCCTACCTGTTCACTACGTCACAAAATTAAAAAAAAAATACAGATAAGTTCTAAGTTCAACACACAAGGTATTCCCTAAATTTTTTTTTACTTTGAGACAATATTTTGAATATCTCTGTAAATTGTTGTCATTTATTCCATATATAATAGTCAAAATTTACCTTTTAGTTAACATTATAAGTCATGCTTTGTCCTTAACGGTACGTTTTACTTCAGTATGATCTTTTATGTGAGAATCGCTAACACGGATTCATTTTTGAAGGGTATTGTACACGACTTGTTTCGAAACATCATCGTTTTGGTACTTACATAAATTTCACCTGTTTATATATTACGTAGTATAGTATACTGGAGAGAACTCTAACTAAATTTGAGTTTACTTAAAGTAACTAACGATTTCATTGGGATAATTGAAACTGGGTTTAAAACTGATTGATAATTGTGTTCGTTTTTTAAATAAATGTTCAACGTAGGATAGTTATATCTGACTTTTTATTCTTGATGAACATAATAGACCCTTATTGCTGTTGATTATTTTATTTTAGCTATTTCATGATCAAATTTTCTTACTGGTTTCTTACTTTACCTTTTCATACCCAAAGTAAGTGGCGCCCTTTTTACTGTCTTTGACCATTACTATTTGAATACTTAACATCAATTTTAGAATCTTTGCAGCCTATACATTATTACTTTTATTTTATTATTTAACAACATTATTAAGTCACCACAGGTCACAAGCCTTACCTACGAACCCAGCTCTCCTCTGACCCTGAGCAACGGATACCTTTTTCTTTCTGTTTGAGTGATGACAGAAAAAGTCGTCACACAAATAGAAGAATAAAGAATATGACGCCCTGTCACGTGGGGCTTTACTTGGTTTAATTGGCTCGACTTAGTTTAATTGGCTCAATTTAATTTAATTTGCTTCACTTATTTGGTAGACTTTGTAAAATAATTTTTGTTAGGCTCAGATAAATTTTCTATAAGGCAAAGACTATAGTTTTGAAATTTTATTTTCATTATTTCTGTAATTAAATTCTAATAATTTCAGTTCAACAGCAATTTTTTTGTTTTATAAATTCTTGAGGGTGTTTGTTTATCTATTTAAAACCCAGATAAATAACTTAATACGTATTTCTGACTACATTTTTATTGACGTTTCGATTTTGATTTAAATATACAGGTATGGTTATATTTTGAATATACAGAGTGGACATAATTTCAGTATACAGGGTAGCACTGTTAGTATTTCATAAAATTTTGGAATTTGTTTCGAATACTTGAATCTTTTTGTTTTGACATTGAACATATTTTCTTTCTGATAGTTTGCGCCGAATCATAACAGCTTTTTGTTAAAATTAGTAAGTTTTTCTGAATCATTTAGTCTTTAGTATTTCATATAGCTGAATTACAATGGAGAAAGAATCTTTTAAAGTTAATCATTTACGACAAGTAGAATTAGATTACGAACTTCTTATTAGGGGTATTAAAACATCTAAAAATGTTGACAGTAAACGTAAAATTTTGTCAGGTCTTTTAAGTAGAGAAATTAATAACCCTTTTTGTTTAGTTAATATGGAAAATTATCCTCTTTCTTTTGATCAAGAAATTTTCGAAATTAAAGCAACTTTAGATTCAATTTCTTTGTCAATTTCTGAATTCGAGGGTGGAGTAAATGATTCAATGTTCAAAGTTATAAGATCTCGTCTTGCGCATTTGGCTGGTAGAATCAAGAGAATAATTTTAGATGAAAATCGTGCTGATGCAGAAACTATTCAAACTGATGTTTATACTAGTTGTTATCAACTTGAAGCTGACCTGCTTGTCAAAACTTCAGACATTAATGAAACTTTAAACGTTAGTTCTGTTCCTTCAGGACCGGTTATTAATGTACCGCCTCCTATTGTGACTTATGTTGCTAAACCTTGTCCAGTGTCAGACTGGCCTATTAAATTTAATGGTAATCCTCAAGATTTATTTTCATTTTTAGAAACTGTTACTGAGCTTTCTGAATCACGTAAAGTTAGTGAACAAGATTTATTTTCTTCCGCAGTAGAACTTTTTACCGGGAATGCTTTTATTTGGTACAGAAGTATTAAACAACATGTTACAGATTGGAAATCTCTTGTAGAAAGATTAAAGAAAGACTTTTTACCACCAGATAATGATGATAATATTTGGTCACAAATTAAATCTTATAAACAGCGAAAAAATGAAAGTATTTTAATTTTTATAGCAACTTTAGAGAATCTTTTTAGTAGATTAAGTAAATGCCCTAGTGAGGTTAATAAGATTAAAATTATTAGACAAAATTTACTTCCTGAATACATTACTCAGTTAGCTTTAGTTGATGTTTTATCTGTGTCTGAACTCTCTAATTTGTGTAGAAAATTAGAAAATGCTAAACATCAGAATGAAAAACGATCTAGAAGTTTAAATGTTTCTCAATTGAATACCACTCCTGATTCTAGCTCGTCTGATTCTCATCGAGTACAGTTTAGTAAAAAATCTAAGAATGTAAATGCTCAGAACAAAAATAAAAATACTACTGCTAGGTCTCCTTGTTCTGCTGTAGCGTCGTCGTCTTCTGACCCTGATATGGTAAATACTTCTTCGAGTATGCCCAGATCTGTAGAAAATTCAGGTAAGGAAGCAACCTCGCGTTTAGTTTGTTGGAATTGTTCTGGTCCAAATCATACATTTCATGATTGTCGACAGAAACGTAAGATTTTTTGTTTTAAATGTGGTAATTTAGGTGTTAAGTCACCGGCGTGTCCCAAATGTTCAAAAAACTAATTGGACGAACTCGTGTTTCTGGTCGTGCAGTTCAAAAATTCAAACCCAG